ACCCCACTAACCTGCTTTCCAGATCCGTTCTCCTGTGCAGGGCAACAAAAGAAGACCCAGCTGATCAGCTGTGGGCGTGTCTTGGTGGGCGTTGCATGGCTTGGTGGGTGTGGTTTGGTGGGCATGGCAGGGGAAGGCTACTGCAAAAACCCATTCCCTCCTCACCCCACTAACCTGCTTTCCAGCTCTGCTCTCCTGTCCAAGGCAACCAAAGAAGACCTAGCCGATCAGCTGGGACTCGGGAGGCAGAGAATAGATGGGCGCGGGGCCAAACAGAGGTGGTATTTGCCGGTTCTCTGAATTACTCAAAACTTCCGCTACCGGTTCTCCAGAAGTGGTCAGAACCTGCTGAATACCACCTCTGGTTTCTTGCCACAGTTGCTAAGTGAATCACTACCGTTGATTGTTTCCCCAAGCCATGGTTTATATACAGGTAGTCTCGACTTACAATCAGAATTGGGACCAGGATTTCTGTTACTAAGCAAGGCGGTGGTTGTTTTTTAATGTGTGCATATATAATATAAAATTAAAGAAAAGTGTGCTGTTATTTAGGAACACGCCGAAGACTTTGAGATGTTGTCCTTTTGGCTTTCCAATACCTGCCATTTTCTTAACTGCCTGAAGCAGTACAGTGGAGAAGAGGTAAGATTAATTTCATCCTAGGGTTGTCTTTGTGAACAGTTTAATACACCAACCTGGTGTTACCTTCCTGCGTTCATAGCCCTTTTTGTCCTGACCAAGGCTTATTGAGAAACTAACAAACACACGTTAGTCCCAAACCCTTTTTTTTCTTTATTTTATGGCTGTGAATTTTAGTCATTCACAGCCCGTAATGAGTCTCAAACAGTTTGTAAATAGTCCCATGGAAGTTTGCCAAAGTCCTTCGGGATAAGCCTGATAAGTGCGCACCTTTATCTTCCTTGAAATGCTGCCAATGATTAAATTTCCAATTAGTTATACGAGACCAAACGGAGCACAAATTCAACACAGAGCTTCAGCTTTCAAACCGACCAGTATGGACGAAGTTGCTTCCTGCAAAGGTTCCTGTCCCTTTGCTCCTCCTTTATGTCTCCTTTATGAGGGGCAATCACCTCCAAGCCTTATTCCTGAGTCACCCCTTTTGTCTTAGCTGCTCTTGCCTTCTGGCAGGGTTAGGACCCCATCTTCTTAGAGGCTCAGGTGTCACCTCTGATCATACCTTAGATCACCAGTCTTGGCCTTTCATAAGAGAAGCAGAATCCTGTGCCATGATTATTATTATTTTTTGCTTCTAATTGGGATAGGAAGCTGCCAATATAAGTAAGACAAAACAGCTGCTTTCAGGGATGAGAACAATTTAACACCTCTAAATTGTGATCTGGAGAGTTTGCAGTCCTTATGTAAAGAAATTCTGGTTTTGCTTAATTTGTCTTGAAGTGTAAGAAATTTAATTTTAACTTATGGTGATATCTATCCTCTTTTTTCCGCTCTTTTAGCTATGGAATTTCTAGGCATTCGGAAATGCCTTAGAAATAGCCTACTTTAACTCTTGAATTGCACATTTGGTGTTCACCAAAATGCACTTAAATTTAAGAATTCTGAAGAAGAACAAAACAAAAATCTGCCCCTGATATTTTTCAATAAAATAAAATGGAACGGATGACTCTGTAATTTGTTTATATTCTATTTTACTGGAATATAAACAAATTATAGAGTCATCCATTCAATTTTATTTCGTAAAGCTACATTAAAAGCTCTGTATTAGTCTGAAAAATGTATAATTTGTTTGTGATCTTAATTGCCATTTGGTGATAACACTGCAATTGACTTTCCAGGAATTCATGAAGCACAACACACCACAACAAAATAAGAACAATCTGATCCACTTTGATCTGTCCGAATACAGGCAGGTTCTTAGCGATCTGGCCATTCGTATATATCATCAGTTCATCAGTGTAATGGAGACCAGTATTCAGCCAATGATAGGTAAGGAGTTAAATCGGCGTTAGTAATAATAGATTTCATGAAGCCCTTCCTTATTTGAATCCCTACCGGGAAATCGAAAGTTAGAGAGAAGGCGATTCTGAAACACTTAACTCAAATGTTTGTGTGACTACGAACCTCTTGAGTGAATTCTGGTTCCTTCTTTTTAGAATAGAATAGAATTCTTTATTGTAACAGGAGCTCACTCCGTTACACGGCACTAGGGATTCGAACCGCTGAACTGCCAACCTTTCTGATTGACAAGCTCAGCATCTTAGTCACTAAGCCACCGCGTCCCTATGTTATATACTGTATATGGAGACTTAAACATTGATTTTCTACTCCTTGCCCTGGGATTCAGTTCTCTTGGAGATTTTTTTTCTAGGTTAAAGGGCATGAACATTGTGCTATTCTCTGTCAGGCTTAAATGGTGATTATCTGTGGCTGTAACCGTTTAAGCTACTGAATGATTGATGGAATTTGAGAACAAAATGCAATCTCCATGTACTTTCTAACTGTTTGAAGGGAACCGTTATCAGTGAGATAGTGTTGTGGTTCGTGGGCAGCAGGTGTGGACGGCTGAGGTCTCAGAGAGCAAGGATTCAGATGAGGGGCCTGTGTGTGTTGCAGGGATGGGGCCAGGGCTAAAGGAGAGTGGGGTGCTGCCTTTGGAGATGGTGGAGGCTGGCAGCAGTGAGGAAGAGGTCCCTGAGGCGCATGTGCACAGGGCTGCTCAAAGGAAAGAGCAGCTGCAGGAGCATGGGCAACTCAGGAGTAAGGCTGCAAGGTAATGGCCCCTCCCTCAAGAGATAAAAGCCAGCTGAGAAACCAGAGTTCTTTGCAGGAAGCAAAGAAGTTTTTGCACTCAAGCCTTGTGGACGTTCAGAATAGCTTGGTTGGTGTTTGGAGACTCTTTGTGTTTGAAATATTTCTTAGCAACTTTATCTAGAGTTCTTGGCAGCCTTGCACAACCTTGGCAAGGCTTGTTCTTATCAGAGAAAATTAGTTCGAAGCAGCCTTTTAACCGTGAAGAATCATTAAAAGGTTTTGCTGTTACCTCTGTTTCATGTTTGTTTCCTTGGAACAAGGTTTGGGTCAGAACAGAGAGTTGCAATTATGGTTGCAAGGGAGGTTATGCACACGACCAGGGTTTGTACAAGAGGCTGCCAAGAGTACAACTCCTGTTTTCTGATCTGTCATAATGCAGGCAGTTCTGGAACTACGACTGTAATGAGTCTGCCCATTGCAGTCATAGGACATGACAGCGGTCATAGCACCGGCCTGATTTTACAAGCTTTTTTGGTGTCGGTTGTTAAGCCAATGCAGCAGTCATAAAACGAATGCCACTGTTATTAGACCAACCGGTTGTTCAGTAAGTTGTGGTTTTGCCAAAACTGTTGTAAAATGCAGTCAGGTGACTGGATCCCAACTGGAATTGGATGATAACTCCCTTTTTGTAGGTATGTAGGTTGTAACTTTGGATGGTCATTAAGTGGCTTATCATAAAGTCAAGGACCGCTTGTAATGATAACCCAAATATTTTAGCAGTCACAGAAAATATTTTTCTGGCATTTCAATTCAGTTTTTCCTGCCAAATTTGGTAGCCCTTCCTTCCTTCCTTCCTTCCTTCCTTCCTTCCTTCCTTCCTTCCTTCCTTCCCCCTTTATTCATTTTCCTTCCTTCCTTCCAGGGGTGGGATTTTACCTGGTCAGACCGGTTCTATGGAACTGGTTGTTATGATTCTGCCCAGTTCAGAGAACTGGCAAATTGTGCCCCTGGCCGGCCCCTCCCCTCCCCTCCCCTTCCTGCCCACTCACTCCTTACCTGGCATGAGCGCCGTCAAACTTCCCTGCTAAGTTGCTATTTTTCTTTTCTTTTTTTCCCCGACCATCAGTTGTTCTGCTGTGCCGGGAGATTTAGATTAGTTAGAAAGCAGGAAATTGTTGGATTTCTTGCTTTCTAGCTAATCTGAAAGCAGAGCTGAACCTTCCTTAGGACTGAAGCTTCTATTTTTCAGTGCAGACTCAGGTAGCAGATTGCAGAGAGATAGATCTCTAAGTGAATCTGTGATTCTGTGAGCAACTCAATCTGCCTGCCTGCTTTGCCTGATGTTGGGTAAAAGTTGGTTTTTTAAAATAAAAAATTAAATCTTTACATAAATCTTTACAATATTTACATACAAGCCACGCCCAGCCAGTCACGTGACCACCAAGCCACACCCACAAATTAGGCCATGCCCACAGAACCGGTTGTTAAGAAATTTGAATCCCACCCCTGCTTCCTTCCTTCCCTCCCTCCCTTCCTTCCTTTTTTCTTAATTTCAGTTCACCGCCTTATGTGATTGACTGGGCTGCGTGACTGGCCCAAAGTCACCCAGTGAACCTCCGTGGTTGAAGAAGTCCTATGCTCTAACCACTGCTCCACTGATGGACAAACCACAGAGGTTCATAGGCTGAGCTGCCCTATAGATCTTGATGGTTGTACCGAGACAAAAATCAACAACAAATTCTGATAGGGACCTTGTTCTCCAAAACAACTTTCTTATCCAAGAACGAAATCTAGAGCACTTAGAAAATGCATATTTTGGTCATTAACTGAAAGTCACCTCCATGAATTTGAATCCAGCTGTCCCGTTTGAATAATTTATTTACTGATCAAAAGATTGCATACGCTGCTAGGGCAAAGGGAGAAGCTCTCCATTAAAATAAAATAAAAAAACACTGCCTGGCTTTTATCTCCATTTTTAGCATCCATGAATGACAGGATGCTGAAAATCAGTTCCTGACGAAATATCCTACTCTTTTTTGGGGCATAATCACAATAAGGAGGATGAGGACGAGTAGCAGATCTCAAGCCCCATTTCTTTTCCAAAACTAAATGAAATCCTTAATTATTACATTTCTTTCTTTCTTTCTTTCTTTCTTTCTTTCTTTCTTTCTTTCTTTCTTTCTTTCTTTCTTTCTT